GTAGATTGCCCAACCTTCCTTCCAAGGAGTGGCTGGTGGGTTTGAACCACCAGCCTTCTGGTTAGCAGTCAAGTGCCTTAGACACCATGCCACCAGAGCTCCTAGTGTGTCTTACAAGGTACCAGACAAATAAAAGGTTTTTATTCAGAAAACTCCCAGGGACTTAAATATGGTCTATTTTAAAAAATTTCTTAGAGATCTCCAGTTTCAGCCTGTTCCCTTTTCCTTCTCCCACACAAGTTCTGTTTCTCCCACATCCACTGAGTAACTGTGGAGGAGGGCTGCTTCCCTCCCTTTCCGAGGGGTTAGGAACAGGAGCTCGCCAAGGTTCTGTTCCAGCTCTCACACCTCTAACTGTGACCCTACGAGCCCCAGGTCCCGTGACCGTATCTACCTCGGTGCCGCAGGACCCCAGTGCTCGTGCCAATGTTACCTGTAGACCTCTGTCACTCCGGAGCTCTCTTGTGTCTAGTCTCCTGTGATCCCCACAGTGAACCTTGCTGAGTCAAAGTGTTGGTACAGAGTATTTTTTATTTCTGGTTGAGTCAGAGCAATGAACCTACGTTTCATTTCTGGTCTGATCATAAGAAGTTACCAGGTAAGGTTATAAGCAGCTGGGCCAGGTGCTCCCATTTTTTCAGTTGTGGAAACTGAGGCCCAGGGAGGGTAATCACTTGCTGGGCATCACCGTTAGTTGTTGGCCCTGGCACCCAGGAGAATTTGACTGCATTTTGTTTCGCACTTTTCTGAACTTGTTTATTGTTTGGCTGACTCCTCTCTGTGGCCCACTTCTCTGTCCTTCTGCGTCCTCCTTAGCCTGGGTTTTTCAGGCCTGACATTGCTGTCTCCGCCACAACCCTGGAGCATGGCAGCTGTGCTGTGGTGGCCGCAGTGGTGGTGATACCTGAGTCTGTGAGTTAATATGCTGGCTTCTCTGCATTCAGAGGAAAGGGAGAACCTTTCTTCTGGAAGCTGACTGACTGCTTGATAGGCCAGTCCAGGGCTTAGCTGAGTCTAGAAATGTATTAATTTTCTTAGCGAAAATTAATGCCTCTGCACTTAAGTGGCTGTTTGGCTCTTAGCCAAAGGAATAGACACTACTGAAGAGCTTTATAATTTTTTCGTCAGCAAAGATTTTTGTGGTTTACACTCCAAAACCCATCACCATCGGGTTGACTCTGACTCACAGTGACCTTATAGGACAGAATAGAACTTCCCCATAGGGGTTCCAAAACTGTAAATCTTTATAGATGCAGATCGCCACATCTTCCTCCTTTGGAGTGGCTGATGGATTTGCCTCCATGGACCTTTTGGTTCACAGCTGAGTGCTTGACCATGTGCCACCAGGGTTCCGTAAAGAACACACCAAAACCAAACTCACTGCCATTGAGTCATAGTGCAGGACCCCCACTGGAATTCAAAGGATGCAAATCTTTACGAAAGCAGACTGCCTCATCTTTCTTCTGTAGAATGGCTGGTGGGCTCAAACCACTGACCTTTTGGTTAGCAGCCAGATGCCTTAACCACTGTAGCACCAGAGCTCCTTAAAGAATACACAGTAAAGCTAAACAAATCTAGGGTTGTCATATCATCCAGGAGTCACATTCCTAGGTATTTACCCAAATGAGTCAAAAACTTATATCCACACAAACACATGCACACAAATGCTTATAGCACCTTTCGTCACAAAAACCAAAAAACCAAACCCATTGCCATGGAGTCAGTCCCAACTCAGAGCGATCTCTCTGTGTTTCTGAGGTAGTATCTCTACTGAAGTAGATTGCCCAGTCTTCCTTCTGAGTAGTGACTGGTGGATTTGAACCGCCAGCCTTCTGGTTAGCAGTCAAATGCCTTAGGCACTATGCCACCAGAGCTCCTACCTTTAGTCACAGTTGCCAACAATTGAAAGTAACCAAGATGTCCTTAGATAGCTGAATGGCTAAGCAGACGGTGGGTGGTATATCCATGAACTGGTGCATTCTTCAATGATAAAAAGAAATAAGCACAGAGCATTGATGGGTGGTGGGGCTGTTCTGCATTGTCCTGTAATGGTGGATACATGACATTTTGCATTTCTCAAAACTCAGAACTGCACAACCCAAAGAGTGAACCTTAATGGAAACCATACCTCTTCACCAGTTGCTGGTGATTCTGACTCATGGCAATCCAATGTGTCTCAGAGTAGAACTGTGCTCCACAGAGTTTTCAGTGGCTGGTTTTTGGGAAGTAGAGCTCCAGGCCTTTCTTCCGAGGTGCCTCTGGGTAGCCTTGATCCTCCAGCCTTTCAGTCAGCAGCTGAGCGTATTAACT